CGGACCTGAGGCCTCCGAAGGAGGCATGCGAGGAAATCCGAAGCACCCCGCAACAGCAGGTGAGAGTGAGGAGGGTGCCTCCATGGAGGAGGAGGAGGAGGAGGAGGAGGAGGAGGAGGAGGAGAAGGAGAAGGAGGAGGAGGAGAAGGAGGAGGAGGAGGAGGGAGGAGGAGGAGGAGGAGGAGGAGGATGGAGGGATGAGGATGGAGGGGGATGGAGGGGAGGAGGAGAGGAGGAGGAGGAGGAAAAGGAGGAGGACGAGGAGGGCGGGGAGCGCGGGAGGGGGGGGGCACGGGGGGGCGGGCAGGGTGACCCCAGCCGGCGCAGGCCGCCCTGGAGACGCCGCTGGCCGCCCGCCTCTGCAGCGCGCTGGCGGCGACGCCGGAGCGGCGGGGGTCGGGGGGGGAGGAGAGGAAGAGGGAGGAGAGGGACGGACAGGAGGAGGGGGGAGGGAGGAGGAAGAGGAGGGCGAGGAGAAGAAGGAGCAGGAAGAAAAAGACGATGGAGGCAGAGGAGGAGGAGGAGGAGGAGGAGGAGGAGGAGGAGGAGGAGGAGGAGGAGGGGATGACGAGGAAGGCGAGGGATAAGGAATATGAAGAGGATTGAGGAGGAGGAGGAAAAGAAGAATAAGAAGAAGAAGAAAAAGGAAGAGGAGGAGGAGAAGGAGGAGGAGGAGGAGGCCGAGAAGAAGGAGGAAAAGGGATGGAGTAGGAGGGGAGGGGAGGGGGAAGGGGGGGAGGGGAGGGGGAGGTGGAGAGGAAAAGTGAACGGGAATGAGGAGGACGGGAAGGATGAGGGAGGAGACTGAGGAGCAGGAGGAGGAGGACGGGTGATGAGGGAAGGGAGGAGGAGGAAGAAGAGGAGGAGAAAGAGGAGATTGAAGACATGGGAGGATGAGGAGGAGGAGGAGGAGGAGGAGGAGGAGGAGGAGGAAGCGGAGGAGGAGGAGACGAGGAAGAAAATGGAGGATCAGCCGCAGGGGGAGGATGACGGGGGGAAGAGCGATAGGGAGGGAGGAGGACACAGAGATGGAGTGGCGGCAGGACGGTGACGAGGAGGAGGAGGAGGAGGCAATGGGCAAGACGAGACGAAAGTGAGGGGGCCCCTTCTAGGATCTGCTGGACGAGCCCCACGGCAGCCACCAGTTCCAGGGTCGCCAGAAGGACGAGGACGGCTGGAGCCCCTCAGAGGCCAGGAGGAGGAAGGGTGGGGAAGGGTGGGGAGGGAAGGGGAAGGCAGGGGAGAGGAAAAAGGGGGAGGGAGGACGATGGCGAACTATCTCCTGTACTGCCGTTATTGTTTCCACACCGGCTTGCAGTCCAAACCAAGCCCACCTCGCCTGAGACGGCACTGCATGTTTGCAGCAAAGACGCAGAAGCCAACCATGAGCTCAAGCCTGTGCACCGTAAACAGGGAAGAGGGGGGAGGACGGGGAGAGGGGATGGGGGAGGGGGAAGGAGGGGGAAGGAGGAGGACGACGACGGCGACGATGAGGCCAGCTACACACCCGAGTCGCTCGCCGCCTGCGAGCCAGCAAGCCGAGTCCGCATGTACCACGTGGCCACGCGGCAGGCCAAAGGCAGGCGACCTGAAAGCCCTCCCACGGGCCCCCCGACTGCCCGCGTGCAACGGGTCCGCGTGAAGTGAAGGCGGGACAGGCGCAGGGGGGAGCGCATCGACCCCCAATCGCCCGTTCATCGCCGGTGGGGGCCTACTTGCCAGCCCCGTCCAGCAACGCGTGGTTGCGCCGTCGGGGGCCTCTCCTCTCGCCGATCTATCAGCGATGCATCGCCGATTCCAAGTCGATGGTTCCCCCACCGGGCCGGTCCCCCCCCCTCCATTGTGCCCGCTCGCGTGCTCGCCTCTCCTCCTCCTCCTCCGCCTCCTCCTCCTCCCTCCTCCTCCTCTCCTCCTCCTCCTCTCCTCCTCCTCCTCCTCCTCCTCCTCCTCCTCCCCTCTCCTCCTCCTCCTCCTCCCCTCCTCCTCCTCCTCCTCCTCCTCCTCCACCTCCTCCTCTCCTCCTCCTCCTCCTCTCCTCCTCCTCCTCCTCCTCCTCCTCCTCCTCCTCCTATCCTCCTCCTCCTCCTCCTCCTCCTCCTCCTCCTCCTCCTCCTCCTCCTCCTCCTCCTCCTCCTCCTCCTCCTCCTCCTCCTCCTCCCCTCATTCTCCCTCTCTGCATCCCGGGGGCTCTCCCTCGAGGCGGCACGGCTCGATTCGAGAAGCCAGTCGTAAGGCGGCGTTCTCGAGGGATGCGGCAACGGGCTTGGATGGAGTACGGTCGGGAATTTTGCCTTAGCTTGTCGTTCCGCCGTTTCTGGCCCACCACGCTTCGGCGCGGCACGCCATCAACGCCCCACTCCCAAGCGTCAACGTCCCGAGCCCGTTTCGAGCCCCCCGACCCCGCAGAGCGGAGCGACGCGCTGTCCACTTGAAGGGCAGCAGCGTGTCGCCGGGGCCGCCACCGCGGCACGCCAAGCAGAAGTTCCTGACCGTGCCGGCTGGGCGGTGAGGAGGTCATGTTCCATGAGGCGTGCGCGGACAGGTACGGTCAACCCGCAGATGAAGGATGGGCGACCTTCCCAAGGGTACCCTTGCATCCTTGCCCCTTCGGCCCATCCTCGGCGACTTTCGCTGGCCAGCCTCGTTCGAAAAAGCGTTAAGCATGGCCCTCCAAGGCTCCTTGCATCTTTGCCGCGCATCCTTCTGGCGCGGGTCGACTGTAGGCCCCCCGTCCCGCTCGTTCCCTTGCCCCCACTGCTGCCCTCTCACGGTGCAGCCAGGGCGGAGCAGCACACGGCGGGCTGACCAAAAATCCAGTTGGCAAGCAGGGGGGGACATGTTTCTGGAGAAATGCCACTGACATTCCAGTCAAGCCGTTCGTAGGAGTGGGGCGATGCCTCCAGCTCTTGGAAAGGCCCCGCTGACGATCGTGGGCTGCAGCACATGCGTCTCAGCGGCAGCGAGGAGCTCGAGGACTTCTGCATGCAGATCGACACCGACACCGTCTTCACCCCGGGCTGGGACGTCGTGGGTTGGCAACTCGCCACGCTGGCATTCGGGTTGTCATGGCCCTCCATCCCTCCTCGGCCCTCCTCATCCTGCCCTACGTCCTTCTCGTTCGCTCGATCGCAGGCTACCAGTCCGAATCACAGGAGTCGAGGACAAGAGGGGGGGGGGGAAAAGAGAGCAGCAGAGCAGCAAATGATGAACGCGCCAGGGCGCCAACCCCCACCCCAGTCGTCACCCCCCCAGCCGACAGCCCAAGAGGGCTCGTACAGGTCCAGCATGGCCCAGAGGCCCTCAAGCCATTCCAGAGCCTCGGCGGCGGCGTCCACCGCCCCGGCCGAGAATCTGCCGCCGATCTCGGAAAGAAGAGCTGTGGCAGGTCGAGTGTGAGGAGGAGGAGGAGGAGGAGGAGGAGGAGGAGGAGGAGGAGGAGGAGGACGAGCAGGAGGAGGAGGAGGAGGAGGGGGGAGGAGGAGGAGGAGGAGGAGGAGGAGGAGAGGAGGAGGAGAGGAGGAGGAGGAGGAGGAGTCGGGGAAGGAGAGATGAGGGAGGGAGCCTATGGAGGGGCTGGAGCTCACGCAGGCGAGCTATACGTAGTCAGACTGGGAGCCTGCCCCGAGGGGATCTCCAGCTGTGAAGAGGCCTCAGCAAGCTAGGACAACCACCCGATCCACGCTCGCCATTTCCCGAATTACCAGCCTTTTTCATCTCCAAGAGTCGGACAGACGATCGCAGTGGCGTCGTGGACCAATCTTGCTGCGTGGTCAGCCAGCTCAATCCCCGCAGCAGAGCCTGCAAGCCAGGCCACTAGGAGAGATCACCCTTCTGCCCGACATTCCCGAGGCAAGCCAGAGAATCCTTCAGCAGTAACGCCAATCTCGATGCGGTCGCGAAGATCCCCTGCTCATCTGCCCGTTGCACCCGGAGCAACCCAAAGCTGTGGCGAGACGGGAACGACCAGTAGACCGAGCAGCACACGTACGGAGATATGGGGGCTTTCACTGGCGCTTTCTTCACTGGAGCCGTGGCTGGGGCTGGGGTGGAGGCATTGGCTCCGCCGAAGTTCAGGAAGGAAAAAAAAAAAAAAACAGACACAATTAATCGTCGATTCTCTAGAACATATGGGAAAATATGGAAGGTGGGGGGAAGACGAAAATCCCAATAACATGTTATAAAAGATTGGGAATCCTGGGATTTGTGTGTATTTACTTGTGTGCCCCTGGGCCCCTTCAGAAGTGCCATCGTAAAAAGTGAGGCCCGCCAGCTGGAGCACCGGGAACTGTGCGGCCCTGTCATCTGTTCCGATGGTTGCTTCGCCGGGTTTGGGTGGCAGTGCGGGTCCACTCCGCAATTTTTCCAGCCGAGCCAAGCTCGCTTCAGGCTCTACAGTCGGGCGCGCCTGGGCACCCTCGGAAGGTGAGAGACAAGTCGATCTGTCGGGTCGGAGTATGCAAGGCAAGGCAAACCTGACATGTTGCACCTATTGCCCAGCATTCGGACTCAGCAGCTCGTCTGTGCTGTCATCCGAAGTAGGCTTTGAGTGTTCTCTCAAAAGGCGGACGAGAGCCCACATTCATAACACGCGTAAAGTTCGACCTCTTGAGGGGCCGACGGGGGGGTCGGGAGCAGAGGCTGGTCGTGACAGGCATAATTCTTGTGAGCTGGTCAACTGCTTGATGCGCTTCTTGCAGCCCAGGAGATGGAGGTCGATATTCCCAGGCTTGCCCCGATGGTGTGTCACTCTCCTGGTACTGCGCTATCGTGGTATCCTGTGCTGCTTAAGGTAGCCGTGTGTCCTCCCCTACACAGGACGCCTTTGGATATGGCTTGTTGCCCTGATTCATGCACCTGCTCTGTCTCAGGTAGCTACGGATGTCGTCATTAATGCTCACGTGGGCAGATGCACTCTGTCCTCTGCGGGGTGCGCGCTGACTTGCTACGCATTGCATCTGATGTAGCGGACTCCGCAGAAGTTGGTATGTTTGACCAGGGGGTGCTTGTGTTGCGTCAGGTATTTAGCTGTGCGCCCCCTCCCTGCACAGGACAGCTCAAGCAGACCCAGGGTGTGTTAGTCTAGCGTATGCTGTACTGTCCCATGTCCAATACATCGGCGTTACAAAAGCTTCCTCATGAATTGGTATGTAATAATATTGCGCTGGCAGGGCAGGATCCCGCCCGGTGGGATTTCTAAAGCCGTGCGTTGTTACGTCGGGAGTTTGAAGTACCCCGTGTAAAACATGAAATAATATGTAATGGGAGGACATCCTGGATTCAGAACTCCCAGATCTTTGATCCGATCGCTCCTGACCCAGCCCGCTAGGATTCTAAGGGGGGAAAGGGTGGACAGCTTGGCGCGGTCGGGACAGAGGTCAGTCTATTCGCCCGCCCGCTCGCGCGGAAGTAACGGACGAAACCTGCATCATCTTGACCGCTCCCATAGAACGTGACGAATGTTTGCAACAACGTAGTATGTGATGCAGCCGCTGCAAGCAGCACGCTCTAGGATTGCGTGTGGAGGCACGGTAGGTTCGCGTCGTGTCGACCGGCGGCGACCCCGCCGCCAGCGTTCAACGTTGCACGCCGCGGGCAACCCAGAATCGGTCGATGTGGAACGATCGGACGTTTCGGAAACGGCCGATCGTTCAAGGTTGAAAGATCCCCGCGGTGTCAAAAACCAGCGCCGAAGTCGGCACGACGCGAACCGGCAGTTCACGGCCTCGCTGCCTTGGAACGTCGATGTTCTGCATCTCTCGGACTGGCGTGTGTGGTGTAGATATCGGTAAGAGCTTGGCGTGGTGCCAACATCGCAGAGTGGATGTCGTTCGGAAGCAGTGGGATGGGCCCGGATTGTCCTGGAGAGTCTCGTTCTGGTTTTCGACGTGAGTTTCGTGTGGATTTTCTTGGGGTCAGGAAGGAAGACTACAGAAAGCATCCATGCACTACGATGTTTGTCGCTCGCCGTTTTGGGTCTTGCATGGGCAGAAATCCAAGCAAAAATCAGCTGCAGCACTTCTGCAAGGGGCATGCAAGAGCCACAGTGGAACCCACGCCAAGAAACACCCTGCTTGCCTCCAAGGTGCCCTGGGTTCCTTGGGTGCCGATGGCTCTGCGATGGCAAACGTGCCGTCCTCACACCAAAAAACCAATGGACGTCCTGGGGTCTCACGGTTGGGTGTTTTGTGGACGGGTTCTTGTGGATTGGCCCTTATTATATGACGTTGCAGCGGCGCTCCCCTCGACCTCCACCTCCCGCAGTGAGGAGGAAGAGGAAGAGGAAGCGGAAGAGGAAGAGAAAATGGAGAAGGAGGAGGAGGAGGAGGAGGGGAAGGGGGAGGAGGAGGTGGAGGAGGAGGAGGAGGTGGTGGGTCTCTTGTGGGAGGTCTCTTGTGGTCGAGCGCATACTGCAAGGGCTTCCGCCTCCCGCCGCCAGCCCCCCCTCTCTCTCGGAGAGCGTGGGGCATGCGCGGAATCTATATATATATATATATATATATATATATATGCCTCTGGGGCCTGGGCGCCGTCGTGACAAGCAGCGCCGGGAATCTCCGAGCGAGGGCCACTTGAGAGATCCAGGCGCGCACGGCGTAAATAACGAGAGAGTATTCCCTCGGAGGCGCGAATATGTGCGAAGGTGTATGGCCTCGGGAGCGCGACGATCGTGTGATTTTCGAAGGGGTGATGGCCTCAGGGGCGCGAGTGCGGTGTAACTTACTAGGGATTCTGGCTTCGCGGGCGCGAATTTCATGTATTTTTTACATGTCCCAGGACCCCCAGAAATTCGAGGACCCCCCCCAGGGCGAAGGTAACTAACCAAGGCCCTTTTCGGCTCCCCCCTTTGCGCGGACGTCAACGAGTCACAGTGGGAAGCAGAACGGACAATTGCAACATCGTGGAATGGAAACCGGAACTGGAGCGGGAGGCAGCGAACCGAATCCGCGGAGCCTGATGGCCCCGCAGGGGGGCCGGCGGGTCAGGCCAACCGTTATCAGGGTGGTTTGGAAAACAAATGTGGGACAGCGGCATTAGCCGCTGTCTTCGGGGTCATAGTGGAACGTCTGTTTCCCCAGCAAACTTGCCGTGCCCTGCTCGTCACGCTCGCACCTTCTTAGGGCAATACGAATGCACCTCCGGCAGTCGGTCGCAAGCTGCGGAAGACATGTGCATTGGTCGCTTATTGGGGAGGGGCTAGCGGCTGCATCATGGCCCCCTCCCCTGGTGAAAGTAGGCAACGCGGTGTTCCTGTGCGACGGACTGGCCCTTGTCGGCTCCGGATTGGCACCCGTGCTGTCTGTCGCAGGCCTCGATTCGTTTGATTGCATTCGCCGCGACCCTTTCGACGGTGCCGCGCCCTGAGAGTTGAGCACATCGATGACTGGCGTTGCAGCGGCTGGCCATCCTGGCGGTGCGTGTGCCATCTCCGCGTGGGATTGCGCCAGCTGCGCTGGCTCGAGGAGGGCTGCACGGATCACCTGCACTGGCGGCAAGAGGCTGCCCCACATCTGAGTGGGCCCCAGCGTTGCTAAGCACTCCTCCTCCTCGTCCTCCTTGTCAGCTTTCGCTCGCATTTGCGGGCCGAGTTTCGTGACATCTTCGTTGTGCGCTGACGCGCCGAGGAGTTATTCAATACCGCTGTTTTTCCTGAGCTTGCGCCGCGGAAATGTTGCTCAAGACCGACTTTTTCTTTGGGCACCTCCTCTGTGTGTGTGCAGGGAAGAAAAACAACAAACAAAAGAAAAAACAAATCCTGCGGCATAGGATGAAGCTGGTTGAAGATCGCCGCCTGTTGCTGGGACTGTGAGTACTGGCTGCTCTGTGAACGGCAATGTGACTACGCTCGATTATACCTGCGTTTCCGAGCCCGGGGACATTCCATACATCGCTTGCTCTGCTGCCGTCTGCGCTGCGGATGGGAAGGGCGGCGCACCCACATCTCCTGGGAAGCCCGCCTGCGCCACTGCTGCCGCTGCTAGGTATGCTCTTATCTGGTGCTGCTTGGAGGCAGGCAGGGGCGGCACTGCTGATGGGGAAGCTGCTGTCCTTGGACCTTTGCCGTCGCTCGTTGCTAGCACCTGCTGCAGCATACTAGTCCGCATGCCCGTGCCTGCACCAGTCATGCTCAAGGGCATGACCTTCTGCTGATGTGACTGGCCCTCGGGTGCTACAGTGGGAACCCATGCCAAGAAACACCCTGCTTGCCTCCAGGGTGCCCCTGGGTTTCTGGGGGTTCGATGGTTTGCCTATGGAAAGCGTGACGCTCCCACACCAGAAATGAATGGACGCCCTGGGGTCCCACGGTTGGGTGTCTTGTGGAAGGGTTCTTGTGGATCGGCCTCCATTGTACAGTCGAGTTTGACTGGTAGGTCGACCTTGCCGGGTCAAGGGTGCCCTCGTGTCCTGTGTTTCGCGACCCATGCCTTCTGCATTCCTGTGACCACGTGGCACTTGGAAGGGTCTTGTGTCCTCTCGCGTATCCTCTCCAGTCAACCCCGACTGCATGCCCAGGAGCTTGCCGCGGGAGGTTTCTGCTGCGTCGGCGGGGGCGGGGCTGCGCTGGCCGCCCGGGGCGTCTGCGCAGCTCCTGCGTGCGGCGGTGCACGGTGGCGGGCAGTGCTCTTCGTGGCGCCTCTACGGTTAAGTCGGGCCTGTCACTCTCCAGGAGGAGTATTCAAAAATAGTCAGAAAATGGTATGGGGACGATTCTTCTACTAGTCTTGCATATGTTTGAATATTTTTGGACATGTTTGGGTTAATTGTCATTTGTCATCCAAAATCCCCCTCTAGGAGGACATGCCCGACCTAACTCTACGGGGAGTTGACTTCAGCAGGGCCGCAGCGTGTTCCGTCACCGTGTCATGTTCGTCGCGCTTCTGCTGGTTGGCCAGTTCCTGGTCCGGCAAGGCTTGCTCGACGTCCCGGACGGGTGTATTGCATCCTTCACGCAGTCTTCAAGCTCGTTTTCCTGTTCGAGCTTATTGAGTCGAGCCTGAACGTCCTGGGGTATGTCATCGAATCCGATCTCGTGCGTCTACGAATTGGTTGCCCAGTGCCTCCCAGGTAGTCATGGCTTATGCGATCATGCTAACCTCCTTGAACTCGTCCTTGTTGGCCCTCTTGGCAGCCGTCTCGAGCCTCGCCCACGTATGGAGGCGATCGTTTGCTCCCTTGCGCCAATCCTTGCGACGCTCCTCGCCGTCCAGCGGCTGCCAGCGGTTCCACTGAGTGAGTGCCCACCGTCTGGCGAAACGCCGGTCTTGTCGTGGCGACAAAATTGTTGCTTCCGTTGCTTCCTTGTGATGGTCTCTGCGGTCTTGACGTCCACGGCATGATCAGCCCCACGAGTAATACCATGCCCAGGGCGCATTGTTTTTGCCGCAACTTCCGCACTTCCACTCTGCGCCCATTCCTGCCGGCCGCCCAGCTGAGGGGCCGCTGCGACGCAGACCTAGAAGCCATCGTGCTTCAGCTAGCCCGAGGACCTCCTCGATCGAGCTCGCCTGTGCCAGGCTGGCTCGCGCAAAGCGATCGTGCCAGGAGGTTGCGCTGCTGCCTGGCCAAGCGAGAGACTGGCAAGCGCGTCAGAGTTGGCGCACACTCTGACGCACTGATGCTGTCGAACCCTCTGCGCCCCCCGGGCAGGCGCACTGGGCGACAGTGCCGTATCCTTCAACCACCTCCTCCCTCTCCCCTGCTGCCCCCTCGCCCTCCCTCCAAGATCAGTGCATCGTAGCCTCCCGCTGGTCTAGACCAACAGCGTGTGCACGCACAGCAGGGACTCCTCTGAGGAGGGGCCCAGTATTGGCGTACAGGTGCTTCCGATGCCTGCCGATTCCCAACCGATCCCGTCCGATTCGAGGCTGGATTCGTTCCGATTCCACTTATCGGTTCGGCGCCGGGAGTGCTCGCTCGTCTCCTCTATTCCAAGGGAGGCATGGGTGACAGCGTGTATGGTTGGCATCCCCTTCAGGACGACAAGGCCATACGGCAGTGGACCGAGATGGACAACGAGTACGTGGTGTTGTCGGCTGTGGACTCGGAGGCGTTTTCCACCCCCTCATCAAACTCCTCCGTCTCCTCTTCCTCCTCCTCCTCCTCCTCCTCCTCCTCCTTCTCCTCCTCCGCCTGCTCCTCCTCCTCCTCTTCCTGCTGCTGCTCCTCCTCCTCCTCCTCCTCCTCCTCCCCCAGCTTGGGCCCCTTGTAGGGCGCGTTTGGAGGCCTCTTGGGCTGCATTGGGGCCTTATTTGGCCGTCTTGGGGCCTTGTTTGGAGCTCCCTACGCAGTCTTGGAGCAACCTTAGAGGCCTCTTGGGTCGTCATGGGCGGTCTGAGGCTCGAAAAGGCGATAATGCGAAAATCGTTCGAACTCCATGGGAAACAACACAGGGTTGGGTGTTGATGCCCTCCTGGGGGTCTTTTTTGGGGGGCCCTCTTGGGGCGTCTTGGGGGCTTCTTGGGGAGTCTTGAGACCATCTTGAACGTGCTAGAGCGTTCTTGGCGCGACTCGGGGCCCTCCTGGATCGGCTTCGGGGCCTCTTGGGATCCGTTTGGCCAGTATTAGCGCTCCATGGCCCCTGGAAGAGTCACGCGATAAGCCCCACGAGTCACGCGGGGATTCTCCAGAAGCCCGGCGATTGGGATCTGGATCTTCAGCACAGAGGATCCTATGGGACCTGAGGGCACTCAGCTCAGTGCCTACGGCACGTGGCGGGCATGCACTTCTAGAGCGCGCGAGAGGAAGAGACAAAGAGAGAGCGAGAGGGAGAGAGACAGAGACCGCCGTCCGCCAATCACACTATCAGAGAAACTATGGATTCAGTTTGTGTCGGGGTTTCGGTTTTCTGCCATGCCTGGCGGCCCATGGGGGCCAGACGGATCGCGAGGAGGCGGAGGAGGAGGAGGAGGAGGAGGAGGAGGAGGAGGAGGAGGGGCCATCTGTGGTTGTGGCTCCTCGCGTTTCTCCGGCCTGCCTCTCTCCCCTCCCCCTCCTCCCTCTCTCCCTAAACACCCCTCCCTCCTCCTCCCCCCGCCCCTCCCCCCGAAAAGGGACGAATTATAACCGACTGGTCCCAATTCCAACCGTTCGGAGCGAATTGCAACCATGCATGGGACCAATTACAACCATGGGGTCTTGAGAAGTACTTCTTTCTTCTTCAGAAGTACTTCTTTCCTCTTCAGAAGTATTTCTTTCTTTCAGAAGTACTTCGATTCCTTAGGATTCCTTAGGATTCCTTATGATTCCTTAGGACCCCTTAGGATCCTTAGGATTCCTTAGGGTCCTTGGGATCCCTTAGGATCCTTAGGATCAGGACTCCTCCGGATTCCGTCAGGAATCCTTAAGAATATTTACGAATCCATGGGAATCCTGAAAAATCCTTAGGGGAAGGGTGCGCTTTGGGGGCCTTCTTGGGGTCTCTCTGGGCCACTCTTAGGGCCCTCTTGGGGCCTTCTTGGAGCCCTCCTGGGGCCCTTATTGACTTTTCTTGGCGCCCAAATAAGCCCTAGAAGGGCCAACTTTAGAGGGCTGCAGGGGGGCCCAGCAGAGTGACGTCTTATGGGGGCTCAGATTGGACCTCGCCATCCCTGGGGGGTGGGGGGCTGCGATCTGCGAAACTGTCGCCACTTTCGAGGGGTGCTGGTGGGTCCAGTGGACTGGCGTCCTACAAGGGGCCCTAAAAGAGCCTTAACCAGCAGCAAGAGGAAAAAACAACCGAAACATATTTCATGTTTCGGAAGGGGGCGGGAAAAACAACCGAAACATATTATATGTTTCGGAAGGGGCTGCTTTGGAGGCCTTCTTGGGGTCTCTCTGGGCCTCTTGGGGCCCTCTTGGAGCCCTCCCTCCTCCCTCCTCATCCCTCGTCCTCCTCCTACTCCTTCCTCCTCCCCCTCTCCTCCTCATCGTCTTCCTCCTCCTCCTCCTCCTCCTCCTCCTCCTCCTCATCGTCCTCCTCATCCTTCTCCTCCTCCTTACGTCGCTCCCCCTTACCGCCGCCCCCCCTCCCTACCCGCATTGTGTGTTACAAGACTTTCTGCGCGTGCTCAGCCCCAGCAGCCAATATCGATGACATGACGGGGTGGCGGGCGGGATAGTCGTTTTGGGTAGTAGTCGTAGTAGTAGTAGTAGTAGTAGTAGTAGTAGTAGTAGTAGTAGTAGTAGTAGTAGTAGTAGTAGTAGTAGTAGTAGTAGTAGTAGTAGTAGTAGTAACTAGTAGTAGTAGTAGTAGTAGTAGTAGTAGTAGAGTAGTAGTAGTAGTAGTAGTAGTAGTAGTAGTAGTAGAGTAGAAGTAGTAGTAGTAGTAGTAGTAGTAGTAGGAGAGTAGTAGTAGTAGTAGTAGTAGCAGTAGCAGTAGCAGTAGTAGTAGTAGTCGTAGTAGCAGCAGTAGTAGTAGTTGTAGTAGTAGTAGTAGAAATAGTAGTAGTAGTAGTAGTAGTAGTAGTAGCAGTAGTAGCAGTAGTAGTAGTAGTAGTAGTAGTAGCAGTAGTAGTAGTAGTAGTAGTAGTAGTAGTAGTAGTAGTAGTAGTAGTAGTAGTAGTAGTAGTAGTAGTAGTATAGTAGTAGCAGTAGTAGTAGTAGTAGAAGTAGTAGTAGTAGTAGTAGTAGTAGTAGTAGTAGTAGGAGTAGTAGTAGTAGTAGTAGTAGTAGTAGTAGTAGTAGTAGTAGTAACGGGTCGTAGTAGTGGTTATTTTTTCAATAATGGTAGGTGAACCACCCTTGGGCGATTACAATGCGAACCATCACTTCGTCTGTCGGCCAAAACGCCGGAATCCCGATTTTGAATCCCCGGCACGGCTTCGAATCCCAGGCGGGTCGTGCGGTGGCACGCGGCCCCTTACCAATCCACGCGACCCACGGTTTTCTGTCGGAGGGGGGGGGGGGGGTCACGACCCCTCCCCCCTTCCGACACGGATCGGGATCCGAGTCGCTACCCCCCCCCAAACAGGGGGGGGGGGTAGCGACTCGGATCCCGATCCGTGTCGGAAGGGGGGGGGGTCGTGACCCCCCCCCTCCGACAGAAAACCGTGGGTCGCGTGGATTGGTAAGGGGCCGCGTGCCACCGCACGACCCGCCTGGGATTCGAAGCCGTGCCGGGGATTCAAAATCGGGATTCCGGCGTTTTGGCCGAAAGACGAAGTGATGGTTCGCATTGTAATCGCCCAAGGGTGGTTCACCTACCATTATTGTTTTTGGTTCGTAGTAGTAGTAGTAGTAGTAGTAGTAGTAGTAGTAGTAGTAGTAGTAGTAGCAGTAGTAGTAGTAGTAGTAGTAGTAGTAGTAGTAGTAGTAGTAGTAGTAGTAGTAGTAGTAGTAGTAGTAGTAGTAGTAGAAGTAGTAGTAGTAGTAGTAGTAGTAGTAGTAGTAGTAGTAGTAGTCGTAGTAGTAGTAGTAGTAGTAGTAGTAGTAGTAGTAGTATCCGTAGTATTAGTAGAGTAGTAGTAGTAGTCGTCGTAGTAGTTGGAGTAGTAGTAGTAGTAGTAGTAGTAGTCGTAGTAGTAGTAGTAGTAGTAGTAGTAGCATTATTCAAGGTAGTAGTAGTAGTAGTAGTAGTAGTAGTAGTAGTAGTTGTAGTAGTAGTAGTAGTACTAGTAGTCGTAGTCGTAGTCGTAGACGTAGTCGTAGTCGTAGTAGTAGTCGTAGTCGTAGCCGTCGTCGTAGTAGTCGTCGTCGTCGTTGCAGGCTATCTAGTAGTAGTAGTTGCTGTTGTTGTAGAAGTAGAAGTCGTAGCAGCAGAAATGCGAGTAGCAGCAGAAATACTAGTAATATTGGTCGTAGTAGTACAAAGAATAGTGGTGCAATGGTTAGTAGGAGGAAGAGTTGCCGTAGTAGTAGCAATGATCGTAGTAGTAGTAGTAGTAGTAGTAGTATCCATAAAGTTAGTAGCACTATGATCAGCGAGAGTAGTCGTACTGGTAGTGGTAGTGGTTGGGGTAGTAGTAGTAGTAGTAGTAGTAGTAGTAGTAGTAGTCGTAGTAGTAGTCCTAGTAATAGTAGTAGTAGTAGTAGTAGTAGTAGTAGTAGTAGTCGTAGTCGTAGTCGTAGTAGTAGTAGTAGTAGTAGTAGTAGTAGTAGTAGTAGTAGTGGTAGTGGTAGTGGTAGTGGTAGTAGTAGTAGTAGTAGTAGTAATAGCCATAGTAGCCGTACCAGTAGTAGTGCTAGCATTGGTAGTAGTGGCGGCAGCCGTAGTCATAATGGTAACAGCAGTAGTAGTAGCAGTTGTGTAGTATGGTAGTAGTGGTAGTGGTAGTAATCACAATAAGAGCAAGACTAAGAGTAGTAGTAGTAGTAGTAGTCGTAGTAGTCGTAGTAGGAGTAGTAGTAGGAGTCGTAGGAGTCGTAGTAGGAGTAGTAGGAGTAGTAGGAGTAGTAGTAGTAGCAGTAGTAGTAGTAGTACTAGTACTAGTACTAGTAGTACTAGTAGTAGTAGTAGTAGTAGTAGTAGTAGTAGCAGTAGTAGTCGTCGTCGTCGTAGTAGTGGTAGTAGTAATAGTAGTAGTCGTAGTAGTAGTAGTAGTAGATTGAGTAGTAGATTGAGTAATAGCAGTAGTAGTAATGGTGGTGCTGGCAGTGGTACGACTAGTGTTGTAGTAGTAGTCGTAGCAGGCAAAGCAAGACTCGTAGTAGCCGTAGTGGTAGTAGTCGTGGTCATTGTCAGTAGTGGTAGTAGTAGCTGTAGTCGTAGCGACAGTAGTAGCATTGGCAATATTTATAGTAGTAGTAGTAGTAGTAGTAGTAGTAGTAGTAGTAGTAGTAGTAGTAGTAGTAATAGTAGTAGTAGTAACAGTCGCATTAGTAGTAGTAGTAGTAGTCGTAGTAGTAGTAGTAGTAGCAGCAGCAGTAGTAGTAGTTGTAGTACTAGTACTAGTACTAATACTAGTACTATTACCAGTAGTACTCGTAGTGCGTATAGTAGTAGCCATGGTACCAGAAGTGGTAGTGCTGGTAGCAGGAATAACAGTACTAGTGGCAGTAGTCGTCGTTGTTGTAATTGTAGTAGTCGGCGTCGCTTCAGTAGAAGTAATAATATTCAAAGCAGTAGGCGTAATAGTAGCAGCAGGGAAGAATAGTAGTGGTCGTAGTAGTGGGAGTAGAAGTAGTATTATTAGCTGTAGCAGGAGTAGTCGTAGCAGAAGTCGTAGCAGTAGGTCGAAGTAGTTGTAGTGTTCGTAGTATTGACCTCAGAAGTTGGTCCTCCTGCAGCCCTCGAAAGTTGGCCCTTCTAGGGCTTATTTGGGCGCCAAGAAAAGTCGATAAGGGCCCCAGGAGGGCTCCAAGAAGGCCCCAAGAGGGCCTTGAGAGTGGCCCACAGAGACCTCACGAAGGCCCCCAAAGCGCCCCCTTCCCCTAAGGATGTTTCAGGACCCCTACGGATTCGCAAATATTCCTAAGGATCCTAAGGAATCCCAAGGACCCTAAGGAATCCTAGGGATCCGAAGGAATCATAAGGAATCCTAAGGAATCGAAGTACTTCTGAAGAAGAAAGAAGTACTTCTGAAGATCCCATGGTTGTAATTGGTCCCATGTATGGTTACAATTCGCTCCGAACGGTTGGGATTGGGACTGGTCGGTTGTAATTCGTCCCGTCCCATTTCGGGGGGAGGGGCGGGGGGAGGAGGAGGGAGGGGGGTTGAGGGAGAGGGGAGGAGGGGGAGGGGAGAGAGGCAGGCCAGAGAAACGCGAGGAACCACAACCACAAATGGCCCCTCCTCCTCCTCCTCCTCCTCCTCCTCCTCCTCCTCCTCCTCCTCCTCGCGATCCGTCTGGCCCCTCATGGGCCGCCAGGCATAGCAGAAAACCGAAACCCCGACATAAACTGAATCCATAGTTTCTCTGATACTGTTTCGTCCTATTTCCGATCACCCCAGCTGCCACACCCAACCATCGCACTGGCGCAGCATTGGCATGAATGCCGTCTGCTTCTACCGAGCTGCCTCAGGCAGGCTCAGTACCACTGTCGTGTTAGAGCCGTCTGGAAATCAGTGCTACGTCGCCGTTAAGCCGACATAGTATGTACCATGTGCCGCGATTGCCCCTCTCTACTTCATTTCGACATCGGCTGCCAAAGCATGTGTCCATCCTGCTCATCGCTGGTGTCTTTCTCTGCATCGGATTATATACATCCTCTATCTTCGTCTACCTTTCTTCTTCCTCCCGATTCCACCTTCATCCTCTCACGTCTCCCAGCTTCTCTTCCTCCTGGAGTGGAAAGCAGGCATGATGCATGAAACATAAGTTTGTTGGGTTTCCCGAAGGACCCCATGGTCACCGGCCAGTACGTTCTCCCACGACCTGGGAACACAGCCAGCAGCTGGGTCCAGGAGGCCGCTGAGCGCGGGTCTGTGCCGGTGATCGTGCCAGGCAACGGACACGACGGCAGTTGCCACACGCGTTGGCGTTCGGCTTTTCGTGATCGGCTCGAACTTGTCGTCCAGTCGTCCACTCATCCAGTCGAGAGCGACAACGAGCTCGCCGAACCTCCTCGTCTCCGCCTCCACGTCTCCTCAATCGGAGGCGTGGGCACCACGAGCATGATGCATGAGTTGAATAGGCTGAACCCTCCGATTGCCACCAACCATCACAGCGACTTGGACAGGATAAAGCACATCCCTTTTGGTGACAAGATCCGAAAAAGTGCTCCCGATAAGATCTTGTACATTTACGGGGACCCCGTCCACGCAGTCATATCTTTGGACAGAAGAGGTTGGTTCCACCATCAGGCCATGAAGGTTCGCAGTGACCCATGGCCGACAGGGCTAAGTAAAGCGACAGGCATGACTAATTTGTCGCAGTGGTTGGACGACCCGGGCGACGATTTTCTCCAGCTCGAGCGGCATTTCGGATCATTTTATCACCAGTGCGAGTTCCCTGTCGCGTTCTTGCTGATCAACGAGAAGACTGAACATTTGGACGAGCTTGCAGCGTTCCTAGAGACCGATAAGACCCAGGTTGCCCGAGTCCTTCACGAGTGGAAACCGGAAAGGATTACGGCAGATACCCATCCTGAGCCGTCGACGTTAGACTACGATGGATTGAAGGATCGAATCGCAGAGAAGTTGAAGGGCATCATCTCGAAGTTCAAGGCGTTGCCCGGGTTCACAACCGTGATTCCAGGAAAAGACTGTTAGAGGCAGCATTGCGTCTTTTAGCAAGGCCTAGTTGCTCGTCCTCTGTCAACGTTTATTTGCTTTGTCCAGAACCCCATCAAGCATTATCCCCCCGACCTGTCCTGGAGCGTGATCTCGCCAGGCTTCGTTTCGAATGCAGGCGTGGCGACAAAGACCCCCCAGGAGGCCACAACGTTGATTTCAAATCACCCCAGCGTCGATCCGCGATTAACCCTTCTTCTATTCACCCGTCCTCCATCCATCACTTCCTTCCATGCTTGCCGTTCGGAGCGATCGATGATGCATGATCAGATTCGCGCGTAGGTTTGGATCCGTAATCATGGCGCCCGGCTGGATTGCCCCTGCGAGTTAGCGTCGCCTGCGGAGCTGGAGAAAAAGGCAGAAGGAATAAGGAGGAGGAGGAGGAGCAGGAGGAGGAGAGGGAAAGGAGAGAGGAGCACGAGTAGGAGGAGGAGGAATAGGAGGAGGAGGAGGAGGAGGAGGAGGAGGGGACGGGGGAGACGAAAGGGGACACTGCACGAGGAAAACAAATCCTCAGCAGAGCCAGACGCACCACGACGACAGCGCTGTCACCGACAACGGCGACGATGCAGAAAAGGAAGAGGAGGAGGAGGAGGAGGAGGAGGAGGGGGAGGAGGAGGAGGAGGAGGAGGAGGAGGAGGAGAAGGAGGAGGAGGAGGGGGGGCAGAAGGGGAAAGGAGGAGGAGCGGGGACGAAGGAGGAGGGAGAAGGATGGGGGATAAAGGAGGAAGGAGGGGGGAGGAAGAGGAAGGAGGGAGAGGAAGGAGGAAGGGGAGAGGGGGAGGGAGAAGGAGCATGCAGCCGGGGGCGGAGGGAAGAGTGAGGGAGGGACGGGGGGAGCGAGGGACAGAAGGAGGAGGGAAGAGGAGAAGGAGGAGGAGGAGGACATGCGAAGAGAGAGCAGGAGAGGCAGGGAGGAGCCTCTAAGCAAGGTGACCTGAGGGGGCGTTGTTCCCCGCCGCAACCAGAACCGAGACCACCCGGAGTCACCGCCCCGCTCGGGGCCTCCGAGTCTCGAGGAACCGCAGACATGGATGCAGGCGCGTGGATTTGCGAAGTGGGATGAGGAGGACGAGGAGGAGCAGGAGGAGGAGGAGAAGCAGGAGAAGGAGGAGGAGCAGGAGGAGGAGGAGGAGAAGGAGGAGCAGCAGCAGGAGGAAGAGGAAGAGAGGGAGGAGGAGGAGGAGGAGGAGGAGGAGGAGGAGGAGGAGGAGGAGCAGCAGCAGGAGGAGCTGGAAGAGAGGGAGGAGGAGGAGGAGGAGGAGGAGGAGGAGGAGGAGGAGGAGGGTATGCGGAAAATGTGCGGGTCCCGCTTCCGCACGTAATCGGCGCCTTCCGTCGCCAAGTCATTCGGCCTTGGCCCAAGGTTCCGAGGGTACCTTCCCCGGTCCATGGATCTGGCGCCCGCCCGCCAGATCCACGGACGGATCCCTGATCCATGTTGGCGCGCGCCCGAGAATCGGAGCCCGGATAGACGTCCTTCCTCAAAATTCGCTGGCGAGTGCGCCGCCCGCGCGCTCGCACCGGGGGGGCACGTCAGACTCTGACAGGCCATGGTACGGCAGACGAGCTGCCGCGGGCTGCTGGGCGCACTGCCCGGGCTGGCCGGAGGAGCGGACTTCTTGCCTTAGGGCTCACGTAACTCAGGCAGTGGCGAAGCGTCCCGGCTCGCCTACAGCCCCACCAAATAATGTTCTAAGAACATTTTGTGGTTCCCACGAATTGTTCTTAGAACGTTTCTAGCTGGGACTGGCGTGTTTTAACACATCGGGATCACGTTCTATGAACAGTGTGCTTGTTCTTCGAACATTTCTGGGTTCTAAGAACATGTCGTGGTATGGCTACAGGAATGCCGGGACGGTCGGTCCCTGCTCACGTAGCGGGGGCCAGAGCTACCAGGGACAGCCAGTCCTCTCTGGCGGACCCCGGGCCTGCGAGGAGGAGCCGAGTCCCCTTTGTGTATCCTCCGTTGGCCCAGGCTCGGGAGGTACTGGGCGACCGGCTGGGCTTCGCGACTGGGCCCGGGCCGACCTGGGTTCGTGCTGACCCAGGGCAGCGCGTCCCCAAACAATCAGGAGGGGGAAAACACACAGACACAATGAATCGTCGATTCCCAGAAAATATGGGAAAATATGGGAAGTGGGGGGAAGACAGAAACCCAGAAAATACGGGAAAATATGGGGAATCCTTTTATTTGTGTGTATTTATTTGTGTGTCTCAGGGCCCCTTCAAGCAATCGTTGCACTCGCCTCTCCCGAGAAGGGGTTCCAGACGCAGCCTCTCGGCCCAGGGAAGAGTCTCGGGAGGGGCAAGACTGATGCTCCCGGCATCCCTGGCAAGCGGGTGCTTCTCCTCCCCTGCGGAATGTCCGCCATCGTTCTCGCGCAGTCGGGCTTCTCTCTGCCCTTTCGTCACGCTCCTGGATGCATTTTCCAGGGCGCCGCCTCGAAAAACACGGTGTGATACCTTTTCGGGCGCATTATATAGCGTTTCCTTGGAGCCGTCTTGGAGGATATCGCTGGCACCTCCGCGGCGACGGAGGCCGGCTTTGGAGGATCCGAGGGCCCGGGAGGAGCGCCCGCGAGTTCCCACCCACCCCGTAAGCAAGATGTCGGGCCCCATGGGAGGGGGACAGCGAGAGAGGGGGACAGCCAATCATGTCACAAGCCTTGTCACCCCGTCAAGAGAGAGTGCAGCGGATTCTGCACTGTTGAAGGACTACGCAGGGAACCAAGGAACGGCACGTGGTGGTCTAACGGCCCCGTGCAAAGTTCATTGCAAACCGCTGTGTTATCGAAGGTTTGATGTGGCATGTTGGAAACCAATGCTGCTTGGAGGTCCTGACGTCGCGATTCTATATGTTCACGCCACATCCGCCGACCCCTTGATCGACTTGGGGATGTCGTGATGCTGTCCTGCGGCGTACTTGTGTTGTCTTGTTTCTTTGGGTGGACGGGCTCCCTCCGTGGACAGTAGCAATTTCGTGCGCGACGGAAAAAAAGGCACCCTGAAATGCAAGGCACGCAAATGATACTAATGCGAGCGCCGGTGCCACGATCCGTAGAAGTACGACCAACGGGGGTGAGAGCGAAAGGGAGGACGAAGCCGATTGATGAGGAAAGCCAAGCAGGAGGCGGAAGAGGAGGAGGAGGCGGGTGAGGGTGGGGGAGAGGCGGAGGAGGGTCATCGGAGAACCAGGAGGAGAAGGAGGAGAGACGATTTGGTTTGGAGGCGTGTACTCCTGTCTCTGGTGGCCTTTTGGAAAGCTATCCGACACTTCGGACAGCGTGTGCGTCGCCCTGGATGTCGAGACCCTGTGCAGGTGTCTGGACCGTGCGATTTGTCATGGCCGTCGGTCCAAACCGGCTTGGTAGGGGGTCAGAATCTGAGGGGTGCTTCGCGGGGTCTCTTCGGAGCGCTCTGGAGGCGGGGGCAATGTCAGACGGTGGAGGGGTACTGCGGGGTCAGTGCGTTTTTCGCGGCTGACTTTCGAAGCGTTCGCCGTGCAGACATGAAGAAATACCTGCGAACACCCGCCTTCGTAGACGGCAGGCGTCGGCCCAAAAACCGGACGAGTGGTTCTCGAATGGGACGCGGCGCATCCCGCCACCTTGCGCAGGTTTGCGGCCACACGGATGCTTAAGAGGATCTCGTGGGAGGCCGGACGGGGTCGTCTTGCAGGTAGTTGTGGGGCCCTTGGGGACTTCCTTGGGGCTTCGTGGAGGCCTCGGAGGTTTTCTTGGGGGTCCCTCAGTGGCTTTTGGGGTGTTCTTGGAGCAGGTTGGGGGCGTCTTGGGGCCGAAGGCTCGAAAGGTGCCCTCTGGATTCCGTCTTGGAGCCGTCTGGGGGGCCCTCTTGGGCTGTCTCGGGGGCTTCGTGGGCTGTTGTTGGACCCTCTTCGGCCCTTTTTTGGGGCCCCTTTGGCCGTCTGGGGGCGATGTCGAAGGTTTCTTTGCGTGTTGTGGACGCTGTGAAAGCCGAACAGGCGAGCATGCGAAAAAAGCTTGGTTTTCGAAGGGAAATGGGCCGATTTCTGTTTGTTGCGACCCTCTCGGGGCGTATCGTGGGGGCCTTTTGGGGCGTCTTTGCAGCTGCGGAGACCGCCCAGAGGCCATGGTGGGCGTCTAGGGGCGATCTGTCGGCGAATCGTGGCCCACGGGGACCGTCCGGGGAGCGTTTTAGTGCCTTTTTTGACAAGTGTTGGAGCCCTCCGTTCCCCCGTGGCGCGTTCGGTCAGGGGTCGTGCTGGGCGAGGGGGGGCGGTCGAATTGCCGGTTTGGGATTCCTGGGGGGGGGGATTATGGGGGGGAATCTCACACGCCCAGAGACCCAAAAAGGGGTCGGCGGACGACGGGAAGCGCGAACGAGGAACGAGGAGCGTGGACCGTTTTTCTTAAGGAAAAACATTTATATGGGGCTCCTGATCGCATCCCGGCCGGGCGTTGGACGCCTTCGTGTTGATATCGCTCTTGGAGCGCCCGAGAGAGTCCCTAGAAGGCCACAGGACGGCTCCATAGGGCCCGCCGTACAGCCTAAGAGGCCTCCGTTAGCACTCCCAAGAGGGTCCAAGACGCCAAAATCGTTAAATTCCGATGGGGAAACTTACATGTTTATCATGTACGATTTTCTCGTCTTCGCGGCGTCGAAGACAGTCCACGACTCCCCCAAAAGCGCGCCTCGAAGGTCCAAGAGATTTTCAAGAAGCGCCCAAGACGGCCCAACAGGCCGCCAAGGCGGCCCAAGAGGCTCCCAAGAAGGCCCAAAAGGGCCCCAAGAGGGGCCCGAAAGGGAGAGCCGGAGCCGAAAATCGGAGCCTCCCGCCCAAAGACAGCCCTAGGAGGCCCCCAGAGGCCTCCAAGACATTCCCAAGAGGGCCCAAGACGCCGAAATCGTCAAATTCCTCTGGGAAAAGGTACATTTTTGTCGTATTCGACTTTCTCGTCTTCACGGCGTCGAAGACGGTCCAACAGTCCCCCACGAGCGCCCCGCGAAGGCCCAAGAGATTTTCAAGAGGCGCCCAAGACGGCCCAAGAGGGCGCCAAGGCGGCCCAAGAGGCCCCCAAGAAGGCCCACAACGGCCCCAAGAGGGGCCCGACAGGGAGAGCCGGAACCGAAAATCGGAGCCTCCCGCCCAAAGACGGCGCTAGGAGGCCCCAAGAGGTCTCCAATAGCACTCCCAAGAGAGCCCAAGACGCCAAAATCGTCAAATTCCGATGGTAAAACGCAAATCAGAGTGAGGGGGCCGAACGGTCATTCACTGTCCCTGGGTGCGTGGAAGTGGAATTCCGCGGTGCGGATTCTCGTTGTTGTTGTTGTTGTTGTTGTTGTTGTTGTTGGTGGTGGTGGTGGTGGT